AACTCTTGCAATGACAATTCAAAGAACTCCTTCCTGTCTTTGTCTATTATCCACCTGTCATTGTTCTTTGTCTGTCTGCTTCTCTCTCTTAAAGGGCCGCGCTAGATTCTTAAGGACATACTGCTGCTGTGGTTAATCGTCCAATTTTCAACCCGTCAAAATGACGGACGGCCTTAAATTTTCCCCGTCAACTCTTAAAAAAAATCCGTCAATGATGGAAAATTGTCGGTTAATGTACCCTCTGCATAAACAGAAATATAAAAGATGTAAATGTTTATACAGTATTATTTAACTTAGATTTCGTTATAAAAGACAGGTTTTAATTTATCATAAATTACCCCTCCTCCTCACAAATAAAATATGAAATTTCGGGTTTGCTTCGGGCTCGGGCCTGCAAATCAAGTTAATTGGTCGGGCTCGGGCCGGGTCGGGTCAGGCTGGATTTTTTTAGGGCCGATCTTACCTCTAATGTGTACCACAGCAACACGTCTACTATCGCCAACACAAGGTCATGTGACATCAACCAATTTAATATCGCCTCCCGCTGGGGGCGGGGGCGAATTACAACTTCCTGTAATGCAAACCACTAGCAATGGCTTTACAAAACAAACACTATGAAAACACGCAATAAGGACGAGCTGCAGATGGACGCAACTCACGGCGAGTCACGCATGACAGACCGCCTAATGGGTTAGACAGTTAACAGCCAACCAATTCTACACTCTCATTCGCTGATGCCCATGACACTCACCAGACCAGAGCATTTTTTGCGAGTGAATTAACTGGTAGATTGACAAAAATGTACTGTTCACTTGGCTCCAACAGGCAATTCAGTCTCTTCCTGAGGGACACAGCGCCCTCTACTGGATTATCTTCCTCTATCCTCCCACCACAGTGTCGGGTGAGTCGATTATTAATGATTGGCTGAAAGCCTTCTTAGCGTTTTAATTGTCCTTCACCTTCTTACAATAAGGAGAATGGGCAGCGAAGAACAAATAGAGGCATACGTGAAGGGCAGCGGTGATGTGTTTTGTGGTGAACAAGAAACGGTAACTCGCCCTTTCCTTTCATGCAGTGCTTCGTCATATAAATTTCAGATATTGTTCAGTCCCTTCGTCATCAATGATCTCTTTCTCCCTGCAGTCAAGTCATCCGGCTTGTTTAAAAAGTACACCAGTTCAGTAACACAGTACTATAGTAGGAAATATTAGGGCCCAGGTCTAATTTAGGTTGCCATTACGTTGCCACGGTAACCTACCTGCCATTGTCACGACCAACGCCCCAGACGCGGATGCTGGCGATTGGCTGAGAGTGAAGGACACTGCGATCCATCGGGTCAACCAGGTTCAACATATTATTCTGCAGCAACAGGTACATGTCCTTCCCCTATACAGATGAACACAAACACACACACACGTTTATTAAGCGTGCAGTATCAACGTTCGCCAACGGTGACAGCTACAGTATCTGGAGCTTTTGTGTAATGCCTCTTATGACTTAATCGGTCACGTTGGATGGATGCAATCGACATGGATAAATGGATGAACGTTTCCATAGACGTACTCCAAAACGGAACAGAAACAACTGTCACTTCCTGTGGGTGAAACGACCGTGCGTCCCAGTACTTTAGTTTACATGGAGATGGAACTACACTAATAACAGCAAACTGTATGAGAAAATCCATCTATTCTCTGAGCCACTCAATCATATAAATAAGTTTCTTTCTCTGATGTTTGTCAGTTCCTTTCGGCATAGTGCACAGTCTCTGCGTTCCTTTATTAAATATACACACAGACTTCAGAAAAAAAAAGCAGTAGGAAATGGATGGTGTCTTTTCAAATGAAGTGCAGCCACCCCAGAGAATGACAAAGCTTCATAATATTGCTCCATTTTTCATCACATCATTTGGCTGGCTTCCGGCTCTCGATGTCAATCTAACACTATCACAAAACAACCACTCGCTCCCTCACCTCGCCCCAGATCCCGACTGTGTCTCGGATGTCGTTTTTGGAGTAGGACAGCTGCCGTATGCAGTTGTTCACGGCCACGCTGCTCTTGCCAGGTGCCAAGTCCTCCTCGGCCATTTCCACCCATCCTAGAGAGCGGACTGCAAAACACTGAGACACACAAGCAAAAAAGACCACAATAAATTGAGTCACATGGCCAGAGACCTACAAAGAGCACCCGATTGCACCAAAAAGAGAGTAAATTCATTCATTAGTGGGGGTCTTTTATTCATAGTAAAAAAATCTAATTAATTCACTAAAAACATTGTGTTTTCCATAACAAAATGTATTATTCAGACTAATGAGACATAAACTAATTATTTTTACTTGTGTTGTACAGCAATGGTGGCTTCATTACCACGCCATCAATTACACTAGTTATTTTCAACACAAGATCATAAAACTCCAAAGGTTTATCTACACTACTTATCCAGCTAAAATGACAAGCAAGTATGTAAACCTGACAGAGGGAATGTATTTTAAGAGACTGTGTTTATTTAAATTAAAAAAAAAAAAAAAAAAA